ATTTAACTCCAGAACTGTTGAGTGCTAATTTTCACCCATTTTGTTGTAATAAAACGTATTAAACTGAAGAAGACGACATTTCCTAAATATATTTCTATTAAAATAATGTTATTTCATCAAAACTATATAACTCCGTGGTTTGTGTTGTGGTGTGTTGCTAAAGATGTTGTTCTGTTCTCTTTTGGAACATAGATTATTTTTTACTTAACTTAACCCAGGGGTCACCAACGTGATGTCCGGGGTCACCTGGTAGCCTCCGTGGACTACCTAAGGTGCCCTCGAGATATGTTCTCAAAATAAAACTAGTCAACAAGAGGGTCAAAAGTTGTACTGTTACTGTTCTTTTTCATTCAGTTACAATTGATGATATTCAAATGGGGCCAATGGCGAAGGTAAGAAAAGTATCTACTATTGTGTGTCCCAGAACTCATTATTACATTGTTCTGGAAAGTGCCCTTGAAGTAGCTCTCAGTTTCAAAAATGTTGGTGACCCCTGACTTAACCTTTAGGAAGAAATTGCTTGGGACATTGAAGCTGACACCATGTGTTTCTCCCTCTTATTATCTTTGTAAGATGTCAGTGTCTGTCTGTCTGTCCTTTCCAGGCTGCTCATATTAAACATAAATGTCCTCTTCGCCATCTTAGCAAACAGCAGGACCCAACCAGTTGCTGGTGGATCTGTCTGACCCAAACAGACCGCGGTTCACCATGCAGGAGTTGAAGGAGGTTCTACAGGAGAGGAACCAGCTAAAGGCTCAGCTCATGGTGGCTCAGGAGGAGCTGCAGCTCTACAAGAGGTGAGAAGTAACTCCACCCTTAAGAAGATGCAGTCAATATAGTGATGCTTTAGAATGATACCTAGGTTTAGTAAATTACACAAGACAGAGATACATTGGTACATATTTGGAACAAGCATTGAAAATATATATAATACATGAAAATTACTTTTAAAACTGTTCACCTTATACTGCTTAGCCCCTTCTAAGGGGAGCAGAGCCAATCCCAGCATTCATCGGGGAAAGGTGGACTACACTCTAGACCCAGGATGGGAAAACTTAAGCTTACAGTAGAGTATTGGTTGGATATAAAAAGTTTGGGCAAAATAATATAAATAAAATGTCAGAGACCTCTGCTTTTAACCCATCACCCAAGTCAGCAGGGAGTAGTGTGTCAGGATGGTACCATGCTCAGAGCACCTCGATGGCAATTTGGCAGCTGGTGGACTCGAACCTGAAACCTTCCAGACCCAAGTCCGCTTCCTTAAGCGCTAAACCATCACTTCCTTGTTGAACCTAAAACTTTTGATGTCTGGCACCATTGACATCAGTCCTTACAATACCATGTACCAGTGTTTGACGGGCCAGGTTAGAAAATCCAGCGGGCCGTATCTGGCCAACAGGCTGTGGTTTGCCCACGTCTGCTCCAAACAGTTGACCGGTCTGTCAAAGGGGCAGATATAGATAATAAAAAAAACCACACCAATACTCACACCCACAATTAAGAGTATCCAATTAACCTCATCGCAAATGTTTTGGACTGTGAAAAGAAAGCGGAAACAACTTCAGCTGACTCATCAAAAACATAATGTTTGATTACTTTTACTCTACAGTGGGATTCTGCCACAGGCTGAAGCTCCCATGGTGGAAATAGATCTAGAGATACCAGCAGCTAGAGACAACAGTTCAACCACACTAAGTGATAGAAAAGAGGAGAAGACAACCATAAGCAAACTGTGAGTATTAGCATGAAGTTTTAACTGGAGCAGTTAAAATGCATAAATGTCCGATGGAGAGATTCATTAAATATATATTGTAGAAACCCGGTGTCTTTGGTCCTAGACCTCTGACACCAGGGTTTTTAGAAAACCCAGCATCAGCTGCAACGGCCACATGATGCTGAAGTGAACTCAGAGGAAGATTGTTCTCACAGCTCACCTCCTAATTATTTTCTTGTGACCTGATGTTTTCATGCTGATGCTGAGGATATTTGTGTGAGAGCTGAGGGAGAGCCACAGAATTTGGCAGTGTTTTTGTCAATTCTCTGTCACTAATTCCAGCCTGTCCTGACTCACTGTTTACTTCTTCTTCTTCTACTCTTAGTCACTTTGACATTTATGTTCTACTTTCACCTGCATCAGATAAATCTGGGCGTTTTCTTTTCATAGGTTTTCATTCAGGCGGAAATAAGGAAAACTGTTGACAAGAAACGGACCACATAGAGGATTTGTCAGCACATCAGTTAAGCAGTTTTATACCCAATGTTTTTACCTTATGTATTGGTCACCCTACTAAGCACTATACATATATTAACTGATGATTTTAACCTCAGGTAGTTGAAGGGGTGTAGGTGGTAGGGATGTAAATATTATAAAATGAATTACAATTTAAACTTAAACTGGAAAGTATTATTAAACTGCTCTAGGAAATTCACTCCAAATAAAGTTAAGTGTTGTTGTAGTCCAAACACATCCCACATGTGTATGTATGTTTTTTCTTGCACGCAAGCACTGTTGTAAGAGCACTTTAAATTTCGTTGCACTTGTGCAATGACAATAAAGACATTCTACATTCTACATTCTACATTTTAAAAGGTAAGGCATTGAAAGGGTTGTTAAAATAAAAACATGTAAAATTTTATATTTTCCTTAACGTATCTGTACTGAGATTGGATACTCTTTTTTTATCACTTTTACCACTAAAGTAAATTAGCCACACAAACATTTCAACTGTTTAAATAAAGTCGACAGTGCAAGTATTAAATGTTGTTGTTATATTACAGTATTGCATAGCATTACACAAAGAACATTCTTGTTGTTTACCACAAAGAAAACACAAGATGCAATTTCCCACAATGTAATGATTTTTTTTAATTACTTTTGCTAGCTCTTCCTGCTAAAAAAATCCAAACCCTATCTTAGGTAAAAAAGACAGTGACATTGTGTTGTTTTGTTAGAAACAAACGCTCAAAATTAGGTACAGTGTATGATTAGATGTGTTAGTCATGAATGTGTTTTTAAAGCACAGTTCAAATTAATTTGGTCCAATCACAAACAGAATTCTACATTAAACCAATGCAAAAAGGCTGAAGAGCTGAATGTGGCCCCAGGAGCCACAGGTTTCAGACCTCTGGTTTAGACAAGCCAGGGTAGAACAACCACTGTATCTCTTCACTTTACTCTTAATATTGTTAGGCTAACCTAATAATGGAAGGTTTGTTTATTGTGGAAAATTTTTGAGTTATTCCACTCCTTTTACAGACTTTTAGTGTTTCATTCATCTAAGTATATTTGAATGCAATAAAAACAACACAGGAGGAGAAACATGAAAATAACTAGTTTTGATTTCATTTAGTGACAACGTGCATCAAAGTTAATTTAATAAGAATCATATTAGATGTTTTACTTTTACACCACAGAGTGATGATGAAGTAAGACTGTCCAACTGATGTTGAACTGATTATTTGTTTATTTAATCATGTATCAGGGTCGCATGGGCGCTGGAGCCAATACCAGCAGTCACTAGGCGAGGATGAGGTACACCCTGGATTTCACTAGTCCATGTGCTTTATACAAATTATGCAATTTTTAACAGCATTTTGCTTTGCATCTCAGTAAAGGAATCTTTAATTGTCGTATTTATCATACATAAAACAAATTCACTGAAGGGAAAACTACCAGAATAAAAATACTTCTCCAGATATTGGTTTGTAAACAATCACTTTTGTTTTCTATAAGCTGAATGATGGACTGCAGTTGTTTAACTCAGTCCACCAATTTTCCATAAAATGGAGTCACACTTTTGTTCAGGCCAGGCAGGCCGCAGTTCATGAGTTTTCAATGTTTTGCGTCTTGTTATTACTTTATATTGCAGTTCCTTCAAGTCTTGAGATTGTACTAATAATGTGATCTGAAATCAGATATATATAATATATAATAATGTTTTAATTTTCTGAGCCACATTTGGAGGGTCAGAGTTGTTGTCGTGGAAATGGCCAAATATTTATACCTTAGTTCGAACAATATCTTATCTGTGTGGTGTTTACATCCTCGTGGCCTTTTCGCAGAAAGTTGGGATTCCTCCCTTTCTCATTTAGACTCAAGATTAGGGAAACTGGAGACGGTAACTTTTGTTAATGTTGATTTTTCTATTGTTGTTCTATTGTCCTGCAATGTTCTTGTGACATGTATTCTCTGCCCTTCTCTTCCCCAAATGAGCTTGAACTGGAAAGAAATGGTTAATAAAAAAAACACCAGTATCTGTAAGACTGATTTTATTACCATCTTATATTTTCTCCCTATTAAGTACAAGCTGCAATAAGTTGAACTGTTGTACAGCACAAGCAATAATTTACAATTTCATCACATCAGTGTTAGTCATTGGAAAGTGGAAACACTATTATCCTACTCAAATACTGTTTACATAAGAGAAATATAAAAGAATAATAAAAGCACACATCACAAGTTGGAGTTTCAGTGTCTTTGAAACAAACCATTTCTTGCTGCTATATTAAAAAAAATAGTAATGCGGTGGATGTGGCTCATCTGCAGCCATGTCCACAGCAGAACTGACCGATAATCACAAAACCATCAGTGTTTCAGCCAAGGATGAGCAGAGATGGAGGCTTTGCTACGATCACCATAGTCATAGAGCAGCTCCTCTCCTGCCTCAATGTCTCTGGAGGCCACCAAGATCAGATGTGGGCTTCCATCGATGGGGTGAAGCCTGGTCTGACAGTTCCCACTTTTACTGTGATTAACCAGCCTTCCAAGGCGACTGGTTTCTTTTGTAGCATCAACGCTGTAAATACATCAAATAAGATAGTCAAGATAATTGTTACTTGAATTTCAAGCAAATCCAGGACTGGGATTATTTGACAAGATGGTAAGAATACAGTATATCTCCTTGACAGAAAAGACATGAGCTAAGCATAATTTTTAATATGGAATGGAAAACTGCATGTTTTTTGATGAAAAAGTGAACTCACCAGTAAGTTCTGGACTGATACTGGAAGTAGTACATGTAACAGCCTGTAGAAGGATCCTGAGCATACTCAGCCTCTCTGACTTTAGCCTCTGCTAACTCCAGCAGGTTTCCATGGTACTCCACAACAAACTCTCCTTTACTGAAGCTCTTTAGAGCAAACACTCCTCTGCCTTTGCCTTCTATGTGTTTCACCTATTTACATTTGAAAGGAACCAGTGTGAAAAATACATTTAAAATTATATAAAGATTTTAGTAATATATCTGAATCTCTGAATGCTATTTGTAGTTTCACCTGCATTCCTACTTCAGTCCCTCTCTTTATCAGGTCATCAAGATGTTTGTGTTCTTCAGTCTGGCAGCAAAGTCAAACATTTGTTCAATGTTAAAATTGTTCTTAGTAGAATTGTGTAACCTTAGTTGTGACAATGTAGGACAAAACTGAATTTAGAAAAGATTCCAAGAACAAAGTAGGAAATTAAACTACTTCATAGTCATAGTGATACAGCACACCACTGCACATAACCAAATGTGACCTCTGTTTTTAACCCATCACCAAAGTGAACAGTGGGCAGCTTTAAGCGCCCGGGGAGCAGTGTGTGAGAGCACGGTGCCATGCTCAGAGCACCTCAGTGGTAACTTGGCAGCTGGTGGACCTGAACCTGAACTTCTGGACTCAAGTCTTCCTTAACCACTAAGCCACCACTGCCCTGGTGTTTAAGCTTCTGCAGTTTTGATTACAAAAAGATTGGTTTAAGTCAGGCATGGGCAAACTAAGGCCTAGGGGCTGGATGCGGCCCGTTCAGGTTTTTATTCTGGCCTGCCAAAGTTATCCAAATTATATAATTTATTTATATTATCATTAAACTTCTGCCTTTTCCCTGCATTACTAATGTTTCTCCAATAGATGGCGTAGAAAAGGCTAAAAGCATTTTAGCCTTTATACATGGCTTTTACAAGTCATTTATCTTAGTTCACACCAACACTTCATCTGTCTGCTCCTGGCCAGGCCCCCTGTTCAATTTAAGGACATTTGTGGCCCGCAGGTAAAAAAGGTTTGCCGATGCCTGGTTTAAGCAATTGTTTCCTTTCAAATCCTCAGCCTCACTACAAGATGTTTATTAAGACATGGTCATTTTTTACACTGGTTATCTTCATACAAACCTTTAATTCTGCCTTTGTTTTTCTGTTGCTCCTTCTGATTGGATAGTAGTCTGTGACCTTTCTGTTTTGGGAAGCTTTATTTTCCAGCCTGAAACACATTAAGATCATTATAATTTTTCTAACCAAAAATACTTAATGTCTGCCCAAGCAACAATGTCCTTACTTCTTTGCTGCAGGTTTCTGGCCCGTCCTGTTGCGTGATTTGGGCGCTGAAACTTTGCCCTCTGCTCCTGACCCAACCTGACTCATGCGAATGGTTGAATCTTTTTGATCCGACTGGTTGGTTATTTGCTCCTTGACTTTGGTCCCATGATTCTGACACAAAATCTCCTGATTCTGCTCTTTGGAGTCACAGCTTTCACTTTTTATTTCTTTAGCTTTTTGCTCCTCTAAATAATGCAAGACACACAAATAATAACAAAACAAACTCTCACATCTTCTGTGGGAAAATGATTGAACTGCAGAGCAACACAATGGGAGACAAAATGGCTGGTTAATTAGACATAATCTAAAACAAAACAGAGCACAATATTGGAATCTACAGCATATTTACCTCTTCTTGCCTTGGGCACATCAACATTTGCCACATCAGACTCATTTCCTTCCTGGATCAACATGATTGAACTGTCACTCAGAGGGGATCGAGGTTTTCTGGGACTCCGTATAATCTGGAGAACGGACTGTATTTGACCTTTGTAGTCCTGCAAAACAAACCATGACAACTATTTCCCTTAACATTCTTAGATGTCACAGGTGCAATTCCTTGGTAAAGATGTGTGAATGGTGAGAATTCATCATGTAATTAATTAGATTAGTAACGATGTAGACTGTAAAGTAAAAAAGTAAAAGTAATAAATTTTTTTTAAAATGGAAAACACTTTGTATTGCTGCATATTCCACAGTTGTTTCCCACTTCCGTAAACAAATCATGTGTGTTGGGTTTAATATAAACACATGGAGCTACTTAGTAAAAAATAAGCAGGTGCATTTGCTGATGCACTAAAAGTTTGCATCTAATGCATTTCCTACTTCTACATAAATTGATACGTCATTACCGTATTGTCGTGTAAGAAAAAAATATATAGGGTTTATTATTTATATTGCACTATGCGTCCTAGTTCCATGCAAAACTTTGGAGTACAATCTGGTTCGGGTTGTTACAAAACGCAGACACTTCATGTCATGTTAACAAAAGTCAAATTGGCCATGTTTTGTGAACTTAAAAACCGCAAGCTCGTCATATTTGGTTAAGCTTCTAAATTACATTTTCATCTGTGATAGCGCTTAAACAATTCTTTCCACGCAACTAAATGTGTGAATATTTATCATTTGATATTAGCGTAAACACGCAAGAGTTACACAGCGTTTAAATAGAGAAAGTGAAAATGCTACGTACCTTGTTTTTAGCCGCTGGTTTGTTTTCCTTTGTCTCTTTCTGCGAGTTCACTATATGTTCAGCAATGTCCTCAGTTTTTACGTCGGTTCTCTGCACATTTTTACTGCCTTAAGGAAGAAAGCAGCATAATTTTTAATTAACGCAACGCGGTAAACATTGGCTGCTTGTAAACAGAGCTCGCTTCTTCAGTTATGCATACCACTATTCGCTTCATATTAATTAATACAATGTGCATGATGTAAGCATTACAGGACAGTAAAACGCACGTTTTACCTTTTGCCATTTCAGTCAAAACCACAATCCCTCCAAAGAAAGACTTTTCAGCAACTTCCGTAAAATACTTTCTTATGGACTGGAATCGGTTCAACACTGCTGGGTGATACGATGAAAGCGTGGTGGATTTAAAATCGTACTGCTACTCTCATTGGCTACTCCATATACAAGGGCGGGGACCGAATGCAGAAGTATACGCTTCATTGGTCACTCCTGCTATATACCGCGAACGGAACTTTGGCCGCCATTTTGGTCATGGCAAAAACAACTGCCAAAGGAAATAAAAGAAAGACCCCTGGTTTTTCGAGATGAAACACATTGTAAAGACTTTGCAAAGATTTATTTATATTTTAAACAGTGTGAATAGCAAATTCATTATTGAAAATTATATATATATATATATATGCCTTTATTTTGTATTATTTGCTCTAATAAAATGGTTATAAAGTATATTAATTTGGAACGTGACATGTATCAACATAAGGTATAATTAAGTTTTTATTCTGATATTTAAACTTTATACAGAAGTTACAAAAACAGTGGTTGCTGAAACCCTATTGCTTAGACAAACAGCTGTCTGTAAAGTGTCTGTCATGATGTTCAATTTTAATATCTGTCAATCACACACATATAAAATAAAAATATTACTAGATATTATTAAAAGTTTTGGTTATAGAAGTCATTCTGGACCAGGGCATTTAAAATGCTTTGTTAGCATGATTACACTGTACATGGAAAGGCAACACATTTTAAAAGGTTTTGTCAACAATTGTTCACAAGAATAAGGTCCATGATCATTTATACAAATTTGTTAGTGTTTATACAATATTGTTTTTTTCTGTGGAGTCTGTCACCAGTGATCGCTTAAACTGTTTCTTCCTCTCCAGATTGTCTCGTGACTTCTTCTTCTTCTCCTGTTTCTTCAGCACAGACTCTGCCTTTAGTTTAACAACTTGACTATCTTTTCCTTTGAACTCTATGTCAAGTTTCTCTCTCAGGATGTCTCGAGCTCGTTTACGGTTTATATCCACAGATCGGGTTTGATGGCACTGTTGGGACATGGGACAAAATCATGAACACATACGGACAATAGATAATTAGAACAAACAAACTAAAAACAACAACAATAATAAAAAGATGCTGAACTGACATTTATACACTTTTGTGCAATTTATGGATAAAGTGACAAAGTTATTAGTCAAAAGATTACAGAAGGCTGACAGTTGCTTCACTGCAACTATTAAATTTCCTGACAGTAACAAAATGTAAACTCATGTAATATAAGTAAATGTACAAAGTACAGCCATTGCTCAACTTTGTTTAAGGACCATGTTTCTGTTTGGTTTTCTTTTGGTTGTTATACTAAAATGAATCAATTCACATCATTTCTGGTTCTTCCTCTTTTCAGTTATTGCATATTTAAATGACCTTGAAAACAGAGATATAATATAATGAACACATTCCACATAATGGACATGTAGTGAATTAACCTTATTTATTCTTTCTGAATGGAGTATATTTAGACCATTTCACATTTGTTAATACACAGCAAGTGCTTTTTAAAATCTTTACACTTTTTACATTTATTTGATTGGTTGAACATTGTTTTATTCTATTTTTCTAATATGCATACACCGCCCCCCCACAAAACAATGAACAATATTATCAGACAGGTACTACACGTATATATTTAACAATTTGATGTTTTACAGATGATTTTGAAGTATCATAAAATATAGTTAGAATAATTCTTATGTGTATTTGAATTTTGGTAATGTTGGTATTGTTTGAATGTACCTTTAAGTAAACTCAAGTTTATTGTAAGGCATTTCACAATGCTTTGACGTCTGTTCCCAGGAATAAATGTGTACAGGTGGACGATTAAACCATTTATATATTTTACCTTGACTACAATCCCAGTGGGGATGTGCTTGAGCACTACACAGTTGTTGGTCTTATTGGTAGCCTGTCCTCCGGGTCCAGTTCCTCTGACAAATTGCTCCTCCAGCTCCTCCTCATTTAGTTCAGTAAGGTCTGCCAGCTGCTTTTTACCTGCCGCACATACAAGGCTAAATCCAGGCGGAGACAGCGGAGTGAGAAGAGAAGGACAGATGGGAGATCCTGTCCTCACCCACAGACAAGTGACAGAAAACACAGATCTGAAAGACGAAAGCAGCAATGCCATTTTTACACCAATCTCCTCAGTTCATCAGCTTTTAAATGGAATACCAATATGGATTCACATTACACTTCACCAAAAGAGGGTTATTAATCCAGTACGTCAGTGTGAAGACTCATAAATGCGATGTTTGTTCAACAACGGTTTCCACGTTTTTTGTTTCAAGATTGTTTTTCCTGTCAACTCTTCTTCTACGCTGTAAAATCAGCCAATGACATCGCTTGATGTTTTTCTTCGTCATCAAAATGATAGGCCTGTAAGGGCTCTCTGCTGCCACCGGTGTCGAATTTTCCAACGTGTTGATTGAGCTAACAATGTTGCTGTATGCAGGAAATTAGTGTAAAATACATTATTGGCGTACGTGTACTTAAACATTAATCATTAAAAATTTGTAAAAATATAAAAATATGCTGTAACTGTAATATGTTTCACTGTCATCCTATTACATTTTTGTTTTAATTGTTTTTTAGATGTAAAGCACAACAAAAGTGGAGCTCTACTGTATAATTAACTGTTAAGTAACTGTTACGGAATTAGGCTTGAGCTGACATTAAGTATGTAGTGTGTGTTTGCAGTGCAGAATGTAGGTATGGAAAACCAATGGCAGCAACTGTTAAACACGTTTAAACCTGACCACCCCTGGTTTGAATAGCAGGACTTTATTTTGTATCATTGTTGCAATACATCACCAGCAGGTGGCGATCAACTATTTAGAATATTGCGCTGAACGTTTACGCTTGGTTTGATCACCATCAAGCTCACCAAGGAAAACAAATACACCGGAAGTTTCATCTGTACCTTTCTTCAAAATTTTACAGTTCAGGAGTCCTTTCTCAGACGTAACTTGTATGAACCTCAAATGATTCAAGGCACTTATGCCAGCCTAAATTCAATCTTAGTATTACAAGTTCTTAAACTAAGGTAAATGTACCAATAGTGGTACTTGGGTTTACTCTAGTGAGGAAACAATTTCCATTACTAGGTCATCTAGCTATTAAATACCACTGTTATATGTTCTTGCTTGCGTAATTGAATTGAAATACCAATTGTTGTGCACAGTGTACAAGGTGTCTTTGGCTGATAAATAGTCTAATAATCCTGTTATTACTAAATTATAAGTTTAATGCTTAGATCTTCAGTGAACAGTATAAGATAGTGCTGCTGTATTTTAATGTGGTCAGAGTGGTTGCACTTGCAGATATATTTTTTCATGTTTTGTTCATTGATACATATTTATTAACCAAGACGTTCCATGGGAATTTGTATCTGTGGAGTGTATGTTAACCATCAGCATAAAAACATGGATATATTTTTATTTTTACATATTCAGTAATAGCAATATTGTAGTTTTACAGCTGTACAGGTGTCAACATGATAACAATACACCTTTTGCTTTAAATATTCTTGATGAAGGAATGTATTTTCCAAAAGTGCCTGTTCTTTTTTTTTTTTAACTAACTACAGTCGTAAGCAGGACAATTATCCAAAGACCCGAAATTGTTGTCTTTTACAGGACACACCGTTCCTATTGTCCTCTGTTTACTGGAGCAGGTAAGACTTTTATTTTGAAAAGACAACTTGAAGCTTCTCGCGTTATTTCGACAGCGCTTTGGTGTTGTGAGTGTAAGGAGTGTGCCTGGAGTCTCGCAGCAGCAGCTCCCACTTGAGGAGTGACAACTTGGCGATGGCGAGGGCTGTTCATCTGCTCGCTCTTCATTCCTGCCGCCTGTGCGGACAAAGGCGGCAGCCGCAACAGCGCTGAGTTCGCCATCGCTCATGCCCTTTCAGCGGCCGCGTAACTGGGACTAGCCCCGCCGACGAAAATCCCACATTAGTTAGAATAGTCAAGGACGTTTCTGTAGTAGCTGAGAACCGGGGAACCGCAGCTACTTCGACCTTTCTCTGACGGGTGAGGAAATCCAGCGCGCCACGCTGCGGCGCAGTTATGTGGCCATATTTCGTTAAGGCGCTGGTAAAGTCACGTAGACCTGCGCGGCACTGATGGTCATGTTAGTCTACACGTCATGCTTCTCCTCTGCTGAAGGCCGGGAGCTGACTTTGGATGCGTTCGCCTCAGCTGTGGCATTATTTTCACACATCATCACCGAGTCCACGGCTGGTGCTGCGTGGAGCTGAGGAGTGGAAGTCGGAGCCAGAGACAAGCAAGTAAACTTCAGCGAGCTGGAGCCAGGGAGTGTGACAGTCAGCTCCAGGTATGTGAAAATAACGATGATGAAGACGAGCATCTTTGTAAGCCTTCGATTTGTCCTTACCTCACCGCGTTGCTAGGTAACTAACGGGCGGTGGGTTTAGTGTAGTTCATTTTTAACATTCCACTTTCAAAATGCATCATTTCAACATTTACCAACACACGTGCCTTACTGTTTCTTGGTTTTGGTGTCAGGTCGATATTAATTTAGCTTTAGGTAGACTTCCCTCAGTCATTTTTATTGGGCGACTAGAAGTGTAGGTGGTGTGCTTCTTTGTTGAAAGGCTGTCACTTACCTGAATTTGTTTCTTTCCCCTTGTTCGACACATAGTACATCTGTGGGTAGGATGGTTTTTGTTGTTGATAGTTGATGCTCTAGGTGGCAGTAATGCACCCTAATAGGTATACTCTCCATAAAATTACATCAGAAGATGAGGTATATTGTTGGGGGAGGGGTGGGATCAGAGCACAGTAAAGAGCCTGTAGTTGTAAACTATACACTTCCAAGTAAAACCTGAATACACCGTGGAACACTTAATTGAAGGTGTAAAGTTTTAAAGTTGTTGGTTTATGGATATAAATAGTGTTATAAATGTTGAGGGGCACAGTCTCTTCTGATTAGTCAACTAAATACTGATTAATTAGTGACTTCCACATTTTTTAATATGCCAAGTAACGTCACTAGGTACATAGTAAGGGAAATTTACATATTTGCATTCACTGAAGTAGAAAAAAAGAGAAAATTGCAGGCAGCATATGAAAAAGTATTAAAAATACAAACTAAATACACTAATTAGAATATAAATTTATAAATACATATTATAATTTATAATTTACACTAATTATAATATACTGTATATATAAACATACAATAAAGGCATTTCAAAGGCATGTGGAATTAAAAATATAAAACAAAATATAATGGAAATACCAGAAACAGAGAAAGTAGAAGATATAAAAAAGATAACAAAACAGTAGCACTGTTTGCTGGGAACAGTGGGAAAATAATGAAGCTATGCTACTCGATATGCTCAATATTCACTTCAGTTTAATGAATTTCCCTGAACTCCAGGATCAGAAACTAAAACCAACTTTTAATTGCTCTTAGCAGCAAAGACTCCTACCAGATATTTTGTTTTTTAAATAATTAAGTATACATTTCATTGCCAATCTGCTGAAACACACAGTGTTAATTAAAGCAGAGAAAGTTTTCTAGTCACCCATTTAGTCAGAATCCCTCCAACAGTTAAAGGCTCTTCTTTGGATCCAGCTCCACCCTCGGCAAACTTGTATCAAAATCACCTCAGTGTTTGTTTGTTTGTTTTTTTTCAATATATAAACTATTATTATACAAAATATACTGTATGTCCGTGAGGTTAATCATGTTGTGAGAACAAATTCCTGACCATAATATTTACTATTTAGTTCTGAGAGAAACTTGCCGAGTCAGAAACCTGCAAGCCTGACTGCAACTGCTGCCAACCAGTTTTGATAAAATCCTAGTCTGAAGTCCTTTGACTTAATTGTAATTATGTCTAATAACTTAGACATAACCCGGATTTAGTCAGTAGCATTGTTTTCATTTTAGTTTTAGTTGAAGGGTATCCAAAATATTAATTTGACTAATTCCAAATTTGATTCAGTCACTTAAAATGCAATGTGAAAAAGTACATAGGTCTAGACATAAGGAAGGTCTAGACAGGAAACAAAGGCCTTGTTTCTTACCGGACATATTTTGGTCAGACATGGACCAGAGGATAACCACTCCAGACTTCACACTGTCATCTGTTCTTTCTACAACTTGACACCCTTCACTATGATTAGATTAATGTTTAGATTTCCAGCCTTCTACACAATAATCGTTGGCTCTCACCATTATGTGTTCCTCCTGTTCACATACTGTAAGAGTTGATTCTATAGTGTAGCGGTGAGCATGCCTGCCTCGGAAGAAGAGAATTCTGGGGTTCGATTCCTGGATTAATCACATGCTTGGCACCTGCCAGGGGTAGCTTGTTGCAGCTGATCTGCAAGAATTTCTCAAATATGGGATCATTAAAATTATTATTATTTATTTATTGATTATTATAACGAGATCATTGCCGTTAGACTTTGTGTCAGTTTGTTTTTGTCTCCTTTTTGTCATTGTTATTTAGCCCCACATAACTTACTATCTGGTGTTCATTTAGTTTTCTTCTTAGAAAAAGTCGTTGATTAAGTCGTTGTAGAAAAATGTAAGTAGACAGGAGCAGTAGTTAATCAAATAACGTAATATTGACCAATTATCAGACAAATGTGTTTGAGTTTAGTCGACTCGCCATTGAGTTCAATAAAAAGTTGTGAAAAATCTTAATTGTGTCTGAAGCCGCTTGTTTTTGTTTGTATTCCTGTCCTGCACAGCGGTCACACAGCTGATGACGTGCTTCTCTCTCTTATCCAGATGTTATCTTACAGTGTGCTGCCACTTTAACATGTGACATTAAATGGCCGCCTTAAATAACAGGCTTCACATTGTTAAACATGTAGTTCATCTATCAATCAGCTTGCTGCATATTTGTTTAGCAACAGTGTTGTTTTGATTACTTATCAGGAGTGCGTCTCACCACTGGGAGTTAAAGGTGAATGTGCTACATGGCTGCAGTCATTGGCTTTATGTCATGGTAAAACTGATTGCCCTACTCGGTAGTTTCTTAAGCCACTTTCTTTTTCATAAATTACTATTCAGTTGATGAGCGTAATGTCATTCCTGTTGACTCAGCAGAGTCTGGCTGAGTCACTGAGGCCAAGCTGACTCTGGATATGTGCTGTCCATTAGATGGCTGTGCACAATAGGAAGTCAGAAGCTGTTACTGCAGCTGCAGCAACAGCTGCAGTGGGACCTCCTGCTTTTTTTCCAGTTCAGTTATGTCTTTAAATTAACAGTGCAGTCTGAGACCAGCTCCTCATACCTATCTTCAGTATTGATCTGTACCCAGCTTCACTGGAACAAGACTCAGCCTGCATGTTGACAAAAAGAAATGCAGATGAGATGCCTCGTCTATTATTGAGCGTGTTGTTTCTGTGGCAGAAAGGTATTCGCTGATTCTACTAACACATGGGTGCAGTTTCTCTTTGACATGTCAAAACCTGTGACGCTGTCAACGGTCGTCTTGATTGTGTAATCTTGCCAGCATCAGCTGCTCTGTTTTCTCGGCTTTGACATTTTGAAGGCGGCACACAAACAGACAAGTGGTAATGCTTTAGTTTGGCCTAAAAGGCGCTTTTATTTGCATTATGTTTTTTTCCCATTTTAATCATTTACAGTCTCAGACTTTGTTATAGTTATATTTACCAGTGTTTAGTGTGAGACCAGCAACACTTACAAAAATCTCTGCATGGCTTGCTGTTCATTTCTGTCACAGGGAGAGACCTTATAACATAAACACACTCTGGCCGCTGTCTGTTCTTCACAAGCTAAAGTGCTGCTCTCTGATGATTAAGGGCAGGCTGCTTGAAGTGAAGGCCATCCATTACTGCGCCATCGCAGACAACCCATATTTCAAATATTCTCCAAGAAAGGCTGCACTGCCTTCTTTTACCAGACGTGTGTTAAGACCATAAGAAGTTCTCTGCTCTGAAAATGGCAATACTTTTTTACACTGGTTTAACGCTCTCTCCAACACACACCTGTAATGACACAGGTCAGACTGTGCTCAGACTGTGAAATTTCTCCAAAGTCAGATTAGAAGTTAACCAAAATAAATGTTTTTGTCATATATTTGTTGATTGCAAAACTACTTTTTTAATTCAAAGTAATAGTGTGGATTAAGATCTTTATGATTGACGTCCTCATTAATCTGACTCATATTGAGTCCCTGTATACACAAAAATTGCTCTCATCTGTAAGGATAATATGTCTAAGTGAACAGTGAAGCTTCTTTGGTGCTTTTGTGTATTCATTTCAGTGTAGGATTTTTAGTGTGACTTAACAGTTTAATCCAACAGTTTAATGTTTATTTCAAGGATATGTTTATTATTCTATCTCAATGAGTGTGTTATGAAAGAATACTTGGGCTGGTTCTGGTCCTAGTTACAGCCAGAAACCATCATGAAATAACTTTATAAGACTGACTTATGTCTGTTCTGTTAACGATTTGTCATGTGGACTATGCGTTACAGTGTAGATCTATGAAGCAATCACACTTTTATACTAAGGTTCACCCAAGACAATGGTTCTTTGGGGCTGTTAGGTGTTGTTCTTGTGACACCAGTGTATGAAGCCTTTGATTGTATTTACCTAACTGACACAAAGCTAAAATCACAGCTTATCTCTGTGAGCTTTGGTTTTAAGGTTTGGGAAATTTATAAACTTCTCTTCCAAGCCGGTCAACAAAACACAGCCTAAGATAACCCACACAATGGAGTTATATTTAGTGGAACTTTTAACTTGTAAACTTTAATTCCTTTAATATACAGTATTGTGCAATACTGGTGCCCAGAAGCTTATTCTCAGAACAACTGATGGTCATTTTTAAATAAATTCTACGTCCCAGGCTCGAGATGGGGCGGGAGTTTGTTAAGGGCAGACTGCTCGTAGGGTAGCTACGCTGTTGGACCTGTTCAGCCAGGGCAGCTTTGTTCACAATGGGGAGTCAATACCACCATTGTCAGCAAATGTGATTTTAAACTCTTTAAATATTTATATAAATAATAATATAATGTATAAAAGACTCCTCAAATGACGCAGGATGGTTGAAAGATGTTAAATATTGTTGAGAGACAACTGATGGCTCCTACATTTGTGTTAAATACACTGACTTAAAACTTTTGCACAGCAGTGTATCTTCAGCAACTTGAAGAAATCCTAGAAGAAGACTGAAACCTGATCACCCTTTAAGACTCTGAGGTGCTTCTGTAATAGTCTTGTCCTTCAGACACGGTGATACACTTGTGTTTGTGAACTGGTCAGATGTCTGGGCTCTTGTGTGTTTTCCCTGGTCAACAGTTGTGTTTGTGGAGTTAACGCAG